TATGTATATCTTCTGAAACTGAGAAAGAAACAACAGAAGTAATAGAGTAAGACAGAAAAGAGTAAGTAAGTATTCAGCAGGAATTAAAGTTGAACCGTTTGAAGAAAATTACGAAGCTGATGTTTTCGACCTTTAGACGATGATGCTGAGCAGAAAGGATAAGGTTTTGCACAAACGCACACAATTGCCGAAAAAGCGCAAAGATGTTTTAGATGAAACAAATCCTAATCTCACCGAAAAAGTAAAAGAATTTGTAGACTATGGAAAGCAGCCAACAAGTTTAGCTCGCCAAGCTGTTAAAATGCAGAACAAAGTTGAAGAAAAACAATATCGCGTCTGCACCAGCAAAGAAGATTAGCACTTTCAAAGTTATCAATACACAAATTGATCACTTTATAAGTATATATCCGACCGTGTCCACTGCCATAAAGTATTTTATATCGATTATTTTGGTGTTAAAAGCACAATGTAAAAATACTGATAATTCAACACTGGACTCTGATCTACCTGATAAAAACGACCTCAACTGGTGGTGCTGGTGGTAGTTGATGTAGATGAGAGTCAAAATATGGAAGCATCGACATTACAAATACAAAAGGAGTGCCAAATTTAAGAAAATTAAGTTTAAGAATCAAATATATTCAGTCTATTTCTTTCCCCCGGCAATAAGTTTATATATCATTGAACATGCTTAGTCAGCAGTGTAGTTTAGTTTAGTGTCAGCAAAGCCGAGATTCCATAATACATAAATATGTACTATGTGAAAACACATACACTTTAATAAACATAAATATCTATGTTCAAATATATTGAACGTACATGTATACGTGCATACAGTGTGCGACAAAACTAAAGCACGGAAGCTACCTACCTTGTCGGTAATTAAACTAATATTTATGTTTTTATGTCATAAATTATTTAATTTTTATTTTTATAACTAGTTCATTCATTCTTCTAAAATTAAACAAATTAACTCATTTAAAAATATATAAAATTCCATATATGAAAAACTCCAAAAATCTGGTGTTACAAAACTAAATCACGAAATGGTTTTATGATTGAAAAATTTATCTCTTTCAATATTTGGTTGCGTATCTCTTATTTTTCAATACAGTTGCACATCGGCGAGGCATGGACTCAATTAATTTATTTGATGTGTCCTTTACTTTTGCCTTTACTTTTACGTATATAACGTCCTTATTTTTAAAATTCTCATGTCTGATTTTTCTACCTATAATTTCCAATTGGTTCTCTATGGGATTGAGATCAGGTGATTGTGCGAGTCACTTCAAAACCTCAATCCTGTTATCAACAAACCATTGTTTTACACAAATAGCAGTGAGTTTCTAGTCGTTGTCTTTTTTAAAGCCATTCGGTCTGCCTACCAGCTTCAGCCCATCTGAATCTTTGATATTAAACAACGCCAGAAAAAAGTACAGTTTGCCATTTGGTAATCGTCCAATTTATGTGCATCCTCACATATACCAATCGCGTTAGTCTGTTCTTTAAAGAAATATATGTCTTTTTTGCACTAACTTGCTATAAACATGAAAACCCCTCATGGACAGCTCGACGTTGTATGGATCTCTATAATATATTTTTCTGTAACTGTCTTACAATAGATGTTGCCTATATAAAAGAGTAATTTTTTATTGTCCGAATAATCCTCACGTTCGGTTGTTTTCCGCGGCCTTCTACCTCCATGCGCTGTAATCAAAGAGCTTAATTTGCGAAATCGGCTAAATGTTCGGGAAACAATATTATTCAAAATTTTTTGCAATAGGCATAATCGATTCTCTTTTCTTAAAATCCTTAAAAAAAAAATCTAAAATGAACAGAATAGTTATTACGAGCCATTGATATATCTTTCACTTTAACATACAACAAACCGTATTTAATAACGAACTGCAACTGAATATACACTAATATTTTTCTAATTATTTAATAACTACACATATTCAACATTTTCTGATCATAAAAACCGTGAGACAAACAATTAATGTGCAATGTGCAATTAATGTGAGTTCTTAGTTATGTGCTTTAAATGTCACACCAGAAATTTTTGAAGTTCTTCATATATTTAATTTTATTTATTATTTTAATAAATTAATTTGTTTAATTCTTAATAATTTTAAAAGAAGACTACACGAACTAATAATACAAATCAATAAAACATCATGTAATGCATATTTCATGATTATATTCAGTTATATAACGAGAAGGTATATTCCGTGCCTTAGTTTTGTCGCACACAGTATGTACATAAACATACATATGCGTTTACATGCAATGCGCAAACAATAATAATAAAAATGCATATAGGAGTTCTAAACTAAATGGGTCAAGTCATACATTTACACTTTAGAAATCCAGATCAGATAACATTAAGAACACATATGTATGTATTGAATTGAACAAGCCCATATTATGCAGGATAAACAATATGCTGCAATACATACCAACATACATATATAAGATAAGATTCCTAAAATGGGATATAAGGAACTAAAATACAAAACAAAAATTAGAATGAATATTCTCAGCTCAAGAAAGGTCTTATTTTCCCCACCAAAGGTAAGAATTAAAAAATTCTTTTTTGAGAAAAAATTTTGATTTTACAAATGAAACACCGTGGTTGCAGTGCAAACTTCGAGATAAATATAAAAATATTACTAATAAAACGGATAACTCAAAGCTTGGGTTTTTGGGGAAGGCAGTCTTCCGCGTAATCTCATTGTCTTGGTACTCAAAATCGCCATTCTCCTTCCTCCTGCGTGTTGACGCACAGTTGATAACTAAACACCATTTTTTATTGGAGCTTAATCCGTTTTTCCTTCTCCAATCAAAAATAGCAGGAAAAGTACTTATTGCTCTTAACGAACTCATAACCACTTTGGCAGCTGGAGTTGAGCAGTGGATTTAGGGTGCCCAAATCACAATAAAAGCACATCAAGAAAATCAAAAGAAAAAAGTAGAGGATATTTGTCGTCATCCGCAGTGTTTTGTTGAACTCGTTTTTTTGTTGGTCATTGCAGGTTGATTGCATAATTTGTTGAGTACGAAAGTAGGAGAAGCACATTCATTGAGGCATACTTACATATGTATATGTTCTTGTACCTTCTTTGTGCAGCCTGGGTTTGAAGAAAGAAAAGCAAAATAAAATCTAGGATGTACCCAGCCAGCACTAGAATTGTTTTAAGGAAATATGGTCAGTGAATGTAAGGTGTATGATCATATCATATTAATGTAATTGACTGAATAAGCAGTCAAAAAGAAAAATATTTTTTCTCTTTTTACTCCTTTAAAGTGAATGATTGCTTAAGGAGTGCAAAATACGAAAAAAGTTGGCACTGGAGGTTTAAGTCCTATGTTGATTTATATGATAAAATAAAACTGTGACCAAAAATTTTGTCACCAGGCAAAACCGTAGTGGAGATAAAATATACCCCATACTCAGCACCCTACATAAAACTTTATATAATATATAAATATTATAATTCATCGTATTTTTGTTGGGGCACATATAACTAGATTTTCGCTAATTTTTTCTTCCATTTTTATCTACCTGTATTATTACGATTTGGATTTGATTCAACAGTTTCGATGGCACTGCCCAAATATTTTCATGGTAACCTTCGTAGTGGATTGCGCATCTCTTATGGGTACTCTGTGTGTTGTTTTATCAGTGGCAGTAATCTAATCAAAATCCCTTTCTACTCTAAGAAAATAATGTTAACACCCATGCTATAATACCATTCATTTGCTAACCAATGCATGAGAAATATTTTATTGAAATTTAGATAGAATTCTTTACTATTAATAGTACGTCTGTATGTCAAAACTGGGTTATATCGAATATATTCTTTCCTCATTTACCTAGTGTAAAGGTTTTCGAACTTGCGGTTGACTTTATACCATATCGGTATATCGGTCAATATGTAAGTCATCTCCATGATAACCAGATTATATCTTTACGCTCAGAATGGACAAAATTGGGTGAAAACTTACCCCAACCCCTATAAAACTAATACTATGATGTTCAAATATAGTGTTGGCTTTACTCCTTATAAGTTGTTAAGCTGATCATCTATATTTCGTTACTTGAAATGCAAAAAAAAAGTACCAACATTTTAAGAAATTTACAGTGGCGGAAATGAAACACGAAATAAAATGGAACATGAGTGAAAAAAATTTAATTTAATCATTAAAACTAATTTATACCTGAGCGCAGAACCTGAAAATGTAGAACATATGTATGCAGTATTGTGTATGTAATTTGAAGTAGTGAAGCGTAACCAATAAGACCCTCAATTTCGAATTTTTTGATGATACGTTATTTTGCATTTCAGGTGACCATATGTATGTATATACTTTAGATGATCTCTGACGTTTCCCTCTACTTGTCTACGTCTTGCAAACTGCATATCGTCATCTAAAATGTAAAATAACGTATGATCAAAAAATTCGAAATTTAGTGTTTTATTGATTATGATCCACTACTTCAAACTAGATACATATATGTAAGTACATATCTACAATATTTTAAGGTTCTGCTATCAGATATAACCCAGTTTTTACCAATATTTAAATTTTGTGTAACTCATGTTCGATTTTATAATGTGTTTCATTCTTTCCCTTATGAATTTCCGAAAATGTTGTTAGATTATTTAGCATTTTAGGTGACGATATACTCTGTAAACGTAAAAATGGTCACATTAGGCCGCGGCCACGCAGTAAACGACTGAGCGATGAGCGGCTGAGCTACGATTTTGAGCGACGTATGGCTTTTTACTGAGCGACTGTTGTTGAGCGATTAGTTGCTAAAATGCCGTTGTCAAGGGCTGTACAGCGTATATTACTGCTTGAGAATAGATATCATGTTTATAGAATCTTGCTACGTATAAAAAAAAGAAAGTATGGTGTTCATCCTATAAACAAAACAAGATAGAGATTCAGTGAATTTAATCATTTATATCAAAATCTACGTACATTTACAGAAAGATTCTTTCAATATCTACGTATGTCTATACAATCTTTTGATATATTGCTTGAAAAAGTTCGTCCTAAATTAACAAAACAAAGGAAAGCAATTCGTGCAGAGCAGAGGCTAGTTTTGACCTTGAGGTGAGTTAAACATAAATTTCATTTTATTCATGTATTTAAGTTAAACATAATATTACATATATACTTTACTGTTTGTTCTGATTATTGGAAAACGATGTCCGGTATTTGTTTAAAATTACATTTTGTATTTCTCCTCTGACTTCTAATTTTTCAATATTAGTCTTAGTCTTCTTCACTTAGTAGATCGTTAATCAAAGTCGAATAATTAGGATTGCAACATTGATATTGCTCTGGTTCCAAAAGATTCTCATCCATAGGATTCGGAACAACGCTTTTTTTAATGAAGCTCATCAAATCATAATATGGCCACTTAACTTTAACTATAAGAGCTTCGGAGCCCGATTTTGCTGGTTGACTCTTTTGCAGATTTCTCCTGTATGTGTCTCTTAAATTCTTCCATTTTCCTTTTGCTGCTTCTCCTGAAATGTTATTAGTATATTGAATTAAATTATATTACATATTTGCAGGTTTTTAGCTACAGGACATTCGTTTCGTGATTCAGCTTTTGATTTTCGCATGGGCAGAAGCACAGTCAGTTTAATTATTTCAGAAACATGCGAAATCATATGGAAAGAACTTTTGGAGGAGTATATGCCTATACCAACAACAGACCGCCTTAAAACTATCATAAATGATTCCTATAGGCGTTGGAAATTTCCGAACTGTTTTGGCAGTATTGATGGCAAACACTGTCAAATTAAGTGTCCGGCAAATTCTGGCTCAAATTATTTTAATTATTTGCCCTAATTTTCCGTAGTACTGCAAGGTGTAGCAGATGCTGACAAAAAAATTGTAACTATAGAAGTGGGAGGAAGAGGAAAGCCAAGTGATGGCGGTACTTTTTCTGGATCAACATTATTTCGATTGTTTGAAGCCGATAAATTGAATGTTAATCTTCCCCAAGCATTGCCAAACTCAAATACTATTTTACCTAATTTTCTGATTGGTGATGAAGCTTATCCACTGAAAACATATTTGTAAAGACCTTTTCCACGTATGAATTTAAATGCGAAAACAGAAAATTTTAATAATCGACTTTCAATAGCAAGAAAATGCATTGAATGCGTATTTGGAATATTAACCAGTAAATGGCGTTTTTGGCGAAAAGCCATTGAAAACAACACCAAGAACAGCTACATATTATTTTAATTAAATGTGCTTGTGTACTGCACAATTTTGTGAGGTAGCGCGATGGCGATAGTGATCTTCATTACTTACAAACAACAACAACTATAAACAATGCTAACGCTCAAACAAATACCGTTGATCGAGAACAACAGCAAAACTTCAACAGAAGCAGCCAAACAGCATTAAATATACGTAATGAATTAACAGAATACTTGTGGTAGTTTGGACGTTAAATTCCTCTTAAAATTTTAATTTTATCATGTTAATATGTTAACAATCAATTTTTTTATGAATAAAAAAACACTCACCAGAACAACCACATATTTCTCCCAGTTTTTTCCATATGTTGTCAGTGATATTTTTATTTTTGAAGTCTGCCACAAAACCGGGTAGCTTTGCACCTCAGAAATAAGCATTTCAATTTTAAATTTGTCCATTCTTTCTGTTCGCCGCTCAGCAGTCAACTGAAAATTAGAACATGTCTCAATTGTTAAGCGACGTCGCTCAGTCGCAGAGAAATCGCTCAGCCGCTCATCGCTTACTGCGTGGCCACTTCAATGTGTTCAATATGTTTTAATTTCGTCGCTCATCGCTCAGTGCGTGGCCGCGCACTTAAGCGTGCGATAGGAAACAAAGAAACTTGAAATTCTTTCCCACTAGTGATCTACGGCATTTACTTTTTCCATACAGTTATAGTTATAACAAAATGAATGAAAAAAATTAACAAAATTTTCTATACTAACCTTCAGTGGCACCCGGTCGTTTAAGACTATTATAACAAGGTTCTTAGAGATGTTGTTTTTTAATATATACATACATACATATGTATCTATGTATGTATAAGCGAAGAATTTATCAAAGTGAAAAAAGCAATAGAGTAAGGGTAAAAAAATGGTGTTATATCTAACGCTATGTTCCGTCGTAACTGTGATCATTTTTGACCGGTGGCGATAAGGGAAAAGGAAGAAACATGTGACCTACACTAGTAGGCATTTTAAATTCTAAAACATGTTGTGTATGAACTTGAACATATTATATAATATTTGCATTGAAATTAGTTTTTTTTCATACATCTTTAGTTGTGACTGCTCCTATCGGAATTGTTTTTTATACTCTTGCAACCAGTTGCTTTGTACAAGTAGTATTATATTTTTGTTTACCTAACGGCAGTACATAGTACCCAAAACTAATCGAGATAGATGACGAAAAAAGTTGAAATCCGGTCTATTTGTCTGTCCGTTCAAGCTGTAACTTAAGGAAGAATTGCAATGCGGGGTCCTTGGTACAAAAAAAAAAAACAAAAATTCGCGCTCGTAAATAAGCGTAATCGGACCAATGCCACACCCACAATTCGCCATAAGTTCAATATATAAGATATAAAACTAAAATTAGATACAGGGGATCGTAGTAGCAAGGTAAGTCTTTATAGAATTTCCATAGGTAGTATGTAATAAAAAACTATGAAAACTCCACGCAGCCTTTCTTAAATGGTCGAATATCTCGAGAAGTATTAATGATAGCGTTTTTGGCTTTGGACATTGTTTGTAGGAAATTTTATTTGCTACAAAAAATGTTCAAAGAATGAAAAGGCCGAAAAAGGCTTGGCTTAATGTGCCAAATGACCGTAATTAAAAAAATATCAATTTAAATGGAATTTACGATCCATCCTTGCATGCTTTAAACGCGATGCGCTTAGGTTATGCTTCACTTCCACCTTCCACCTGAAAATCGTAAAAATAAGTACACATGTTTATTTATAAATATTATAATTGATATATTTAGACTAGTATCCATACCAAGTACATTTCTACCCTTCAAGCGTCGAGATTTTTATTTTTTAATTATATAAATATTTCATAAAAAAAAGAAAAAGACAATCATTATCGATTATCACTAGATTTTTTTATACTTCATAACCGTTAACAGAAAGTAAGTATAATTTTAAAATTTTTACAATATTTTTATTGAAAATAATTGTTTAGCGATATTCTTATGACCTTCCATATTATAAAAAAAAATCATTATTTTATACCATAAAACACAGTAATTTAAATGTTCTATCTAGTTATTTCTTTCTCCAAGTGAGTGACCTCTCTTTTGATGACGACCATGGCAAATGAATTAAGGACTATGATTTGAGGGCATGCACCCGGAATGTCCGGTCCATTCATTCGGAAGGTGCCGCTGCTCAGCTGGTTGATGTACTCGTGAAAATAAAGGCTGATATCACCGCCGTCCAAGAAAAGCGACGGACAAGGACTGAGACGATTAGGTCCTTGTGGCATTTAGTACAGTGGACCTGTAAAAGAGCCCGATGGAAGAGACCACAGATGACTTCTATGCGCGCTTGGAGCACAACCATGAGAGCTGCCCCGCTACTATGTCAAAATCGTGCTTGGCGACTTGGGCAAAGAAGGTATTTTTGGCACGACGGTCTGTAAATTTTGCTTCCACGGGGAAACATCCTCAAATGGGTTGAGGCTGATCAACTTCAGCGGGGATCGAAATATGGTTATCTGTAGTACTAGATTCCAGCATAAGAAAACTCATCAAGCTACCTGGCTGTCTCTGGATCGAAATACCACCAACTAGATCGATCATGTTGTGATAGACGGAAGTATTTTAGACGTGTGTTCAAGATCCTTACGTACAGATGCAACCTATACCATTGGTTTTCGGAAATTGCAAAAGAACGAGGATTGCCGTGTTGCAGCGGAGAGAAAACAGGCTGCCTACCTCGCAACGTTAAGATGGACCACAATAGACACCGAGAGTTGAAGAGGGCAGCGAGATGCATTTGCAGACAGAAAAGGGAGAAGCCAAAATGCGTGAAAAGCTTAACTAGCTGGCCGACAGGGGCCGCGAAAAAATGCGGCAGCTAACGGAAGGTTTCAAGACCGGAACATACTCTTGTAGAATCCCCAAAGATGATCTAGTCACCGATGCCCAGAACATACTAAAATTACTACTGAATGGCAGTGAAAGTGCAACGCCAGGAGAAGGCGAACACGATCAATGACGATGAAGCAGACGTTCCATTGCCCGACCATGAAGAAGTTCGAATAGAAATTACCAGTCTGAAAAACAACAGAGCAACGGGGGCCGATGGATTGACGGTCAAGCCATTCAAACACGGCGGCGAAGAACTAATAAGGAGCATGCATCAGCTTCTTTGTAAAATATGGTCGGACGAAAGCATGCCTAACGACTGGAATTTAACAGTGCTCTGTCCAATCCACAAAAAGGAACCCACAAACTGCACCAACTACCATGAGAAACTCTTCCTCAACATCGCGTATAAGGTTTTATCGAGCGTATTGTGTGAAAGACTAAAACCCAGCATCAACGAACTGATTGGACCTTATCAGTGTGGCTTTAGACCTGGCAAATTAATAATCTACCATATATTCACCATGCGCCAAACATTTAGAAAAACCTATGAAAGGAGAATCGACAAGCACCACCTCGTCGTCGATTTCAAAGCATCTTTCGACAGCACGAAAAGGTGCTGTCTTTATGAAACCATACCTGATTTTGGTATTTTCAAAAATAATACGACTTTTTAAATTGACGATCAGCAACATCAAAAGCTCCGTCAGAATCGGGAAAAACTTCTTCAAGCAATTCGATACAAGCAGGTACGATCTTTTATAAGAGCGTACAGTTGCTGCCGTTTTCCGATGATAATGGTATCATCGGCCTCAGCACCCGCGCCGTTAGGTCAGCTTTCTATAGACTGGAAAGAAAATAAAGCGAATGCCCCTGGCAGAGAACGAGGGCAAGACACAATATCTCCTGTCATCAAACAAACAGTCGTCGCACTCGCGAGGTGTCTCTCACGTCTCTGTTGAAAGTCATAACTTTGAAGTCGTAAATAATTTCGTCTATTTAGCAACATTTGTAAACACGACCTACAATGTCAGCCTGGAAATACAACGCAAGATAACTCTTGCCAACAGGTGCTACTTCGGACTGAGTAGGCAATTGAGAAATAAAGTCCTCTCTCGACGAACAAAAACCAAACTATATAAGTTACTGCCCGTCCAGCTATATGGTGCAGAAATATAGACGATGACAATAACTGATGAATGGACGCTGCGAGCTTTTGAGAGAAAATTTTTTCGAAAAATTTATGGCCCTTTGCACGTTGGCCACGGCGAATATCATCGAATGCGATGGAACGATGAACTGTAGGAGATATATGACGAGATGGACATTGTTCAGCGAGTTAAAAGACAGCGGCTACGCTGGCTAGGTCATGTTGTCGGAATGGGTGAAAACACTTCAGCTTTGAAAGTATTCGACGCTGTACCCGCCGGGGGAAGCAGAGGAAGAGGAAGACCTCCACTCCTTTGGAAGGACCAGGTGGAGAAGGACCTGGCTACGCTTGGAATATACAATTGGCGCCATGTAGCGAAAAGGAAAAACGACCGGCGCGCTGTTGTTAACTCGGCCATAACCGAGTCTACGCCAATTAGGAAGAAGACCTATCGATGGGGTCGCCTTACGAACGCACCTTGATATTCTACTTCAAAAATTTTGAAGCGGTTATCGGACACTAGGTGGTCAGTCCGAGCTTATGCTGGTTTTAGCACTGTTAAGCAAGTACAGTAAAAGCTCTTTATTCGTGGGGTATATG